TGTCGGTCCCTCCCCAGTGTCGCATCCCCCGCCCGCCGCTGCCGCGCTGGGAAGGACCCGCTCCGGGTTAAACCCCGAGTTTTCCCCAAAGAGCTCCCGGTTGGGGATCTCGGGTTCAAGTCTGGGAAGGCGAGTGCAGCCCCCCCTTCCTCCAGTCCGGGGAACCTCCCGAGAGCCCCAAGGGGAGCCCCGCACCCCAAATCCTGGCCAGGTTCACAGCCCGGGGCCGGAGCGTCCCTTGGCGGGTCAGGAACCCCCGCAGGAACAGCCCCGGAGCGGTGTCAGGACGGGACAAGGGACAGAGAGCGAGGGGCCGGGGCAGCCGGGCCCGACCCTGCGCTCGCTCTTGCAGGTGGAGGGGGAGGCCAAGCCCTGTCCCTGGACGCCAGCCTGCTCTGGGGACACACGGAGCACTGCGAGACCTTCGACAACCCCCCGCTCTGCCAGGAGAACTTCCAGGTGCAGCTCTTGGAGGTGTGGGGCTTTCAAAGGGCGTAGTTCCCGTGGGGACACCGCTCGTGTGCCACCCACGGGCACGGGGACCCCTCCCTGCGCTGGCTATTCCGGCCGGGCTGTGGCCACCTGTGCGGCAGCTCCATCTCCATCGTCCCCTCCGCGGTCAGACCGAACCAGAACAGACCAGACCGAACCAGATCAGACCAGATCAGATCGGATCGGATCGGCCCCGTGGGGCTGTGGAGAGAGGGCGAGGCAGTGCCAGGACCGGGACTGCGGGCGCTGCCCTTGGGGACATACGAGGTCCCCTCCCACAGTTCAGACCCGGCCCACTCCACCCAGTTTGTCCCAGTTTGGGGTGCTGGAGGGGAGGACAGCCAGTCTGGAGTTTCTCACACCTCCCTGGCCTGTCTGCAGCGTGGGACTCAGCAAAGCAGTGACAGCACGGGCAGATTTTGTGGGAATTCCGAGCCCAGACAAAACTCCACACTGAGCTCCAGGGCTCACCAGAAACGCTCTCAGATTCGCTTCCCCTGGCCCCAAGCCCAGCACAGCCCTTCAAGCCACCCACGGAGCTCTGCAGCCCCCGTGGGTATCCAGGACTGCTCGGGATCCACCAGCACCGGGAGAGACTCTCCTTGTCCCTGGCTGGAAGTGCTGCTGGTGGTAGCAAAGCCCTGCCTGGAGTTTGTGGGGTGCAGCCACAGCCCCGAGGGGACCCCACGTTTGGGCTGAGCCCTTTGCTCTGTCCCCAGCCCAGGGCTGGCGTGAGGCTGCAGGGCTGGACACGGAGGAGATTCCCCAATGGATCACCAGGATGGGCCATTTCAACGTGGAATGGGAAGGTTTGGTGTCACTCTGTCAGACACGGGAGGGTTGCAGGCCACAGGGAACCCTCTGGCTGCAGCAGGAAAACCTCTCCCACCCCAAGCACACTTTTCTCGGTGAGGTCACCTCCCACACATCCCAGCCCTGTGGCCACTCAGGGCAGGAGCTGTGGCTGCCCCGGGGCTGTGCCAGCGCTGGCAGGAGGGTACAGCAGGAGCAGCGATGGCAGAACTCCCATGGGCACAGTCATGGGCACACTGGGAATGGCTCTGAGCCTCCATGGGGTATCCAGGCACACCAGGAATGGGGTGCCTGGGCCAGAGCTGCCAGGAGAGGAATAAGTGGGAATGAGAAATACTCGAGGGAAGGGAATTTCAGCAGTGGGAAGTGTGACCATCAACTCATTGACCACTGACTGAAACAGAGCTGACCCGAAGGCTCAAAGGAGGGAAGAGCAGCTCCTGTGACTGATCAGGATACACCCAGCAAAAAGGGCTTGGATGCCAATTAATAAAAAGTAAACATTAATAAAGCTATGTGATCAGCAATAAGTAAAGGCTTATGTCCTTGTTTGTTAAAATGTGTGAATAGTGCCGAGTTATGATGAGCAGGGAGCCTTTAGTGGGAGCCCCCAGCTCCTGCCTTGGCCAGCCGCAGTAAAGAAATATCAACAGGAATCGCTGGGCTCGGGGTGGGAACTGGCGCTGCCCCCCGGGAACGAGCCCGGGCCGGGACAGCGCCCTGCCCGTGTCCCAGCGGGGGCAGGACACGGCCGTGGGGACGGGAGCTCCCCGAGCCGCCAGCTCCGGGCACTTGAGGCTGGAAATGCGTGAAGAGCTCGGCTTTCTCTGTTTTCCACCCAAATAAGCCTCGCCCATGCCCTGCAGGGCGCAGGGGATGGGGCAAGCCTCCGGCTCCTCAGCTCGCACCCCGAACAGCGAGGAGGTGATGCCATCCCCCGGCGCCGGGAGAAACAGCAGCGGGTGTGTCCGGAGAGGGGATGGGCACCGGGGCACCTGCGCCGGGCACGGCAGGTGAGATGGGCGGAGCTGGGGGCACTCAGACCCTTCCCGATCCTCGTGGGAATTCCCTGGCAGGCAGCATCCCGCTGTGATTTACATACAGCTGCTGCTCTCATGGGCTGCCTGGCATGGAAACCTCCGGCAGCAGTTCGGGGTGGAAAAGCGTGTGCAGACCTGCCGGGATGGGCAGGGAAACGCTCCCAAGGCTCAGCACCCGCATGAGCCGAGCTGTGCGAGCCCTGGGCTGGCTGCTGACTCCCTCCCGCTCCCTGTGCAGCAAAGCTGTTCCCAGGGCTCCTGCCTGGCCACGGGCACCAGAGTCCAGGGCACGGCTGTAGCCAGAGCCCAGCCTGGACATCGGCACGGCCCCTGGAGGAGCAGGAGCAGAGCTCCTGGCTCACACCCATGGCTCAGCTGTGCCCACTGGGTCCCCTCGGTGGGATGGAGGCTCCCATGAGGAGTGAGAGGCAGTGCAAGGAGCTTGGCAGAGCTCTGTTCCCAAGCCGAGGTGTAAGGATGGGCACCAGGGGTCAGCAATCCAGCACAAAATCCCCCAAATCCACTGAATGTCTCAAGCAGGGTTGCAAAGCAGGCCAGGGAAGAAAGGAAAAGACTGAGGGAGCCGTCACTTAGAAACTCTGCTCCCTTCTTTCCTCATCTGCCAGAACTGTTGCAGTAAATCAGGATTTTCCCAGCACAGCACTGTCTGCCAGACCGAAGCGCTCTGCTTGTGCTTTTGTCTCTCGTTCCTCCTCTCCTCTTTGTTTCCCCGTGGCCTTTGCTGGGAAGTTCGCCCCGGTTTTGTCAGGAATGCGTCAGCAGTGCTGTCCCAGAGCCCCGTTCCCCACAGCTCCGCTCCTGTGGCTGGGATTGCGCGGCCGAGGCTGGGGAATGCAGGTGGCTGCTGAGTGCTCTGGCTCTGACGTGGCATTTCCAGGAACAGCGGCTGAATTGTCCAGTTTTGGCTTCAATTCCAGCGAGATTTTCACCTCTTCTGTTTTGGAGGCATTTGGGAATCGTCCACGCCCACCCTGGCTCCGGGCAGGGTGAGGGGCTCTGCCCCCAGTGCCAGGAGTGCTGGTCTGGGCAGGATGGATGGCATGCAGGGAGGGCTGCGGGTCACCGAGCCTGTGCCACAGCTTGGTGGGAAAATGAATGATCTGGGACACAATTCCTGCCCCCTCCATGCAGCATCCAAGCAGAGTTTGCAGCTCCCCAGCTGCAGATGCACGGCACAGGAAGGATCCCAGGGGGCTGTGTCACCGCAGGACACCACGGGACAGGGCAGTCTGTGCTTCAGCGCCCGTCCTGCATCCCTGTCCAGGGTCCTGCGTGCCCTGCAAGGACAAGGACAGGCTTCCCTGAGCTCAGTCACAACTTGAAACTGTCCCCAAGCACCCACTGTGCCTGCTCGCAACCCTGCGTCCTCCCGGGCTCTGGAGAAACCAGGCAAGGAGAGGTGGAGGGGCTGTCTGAGGTGACACCGGTGACAATCCAGCTGTCCCCGTGCCGCAGGAGCTGGCAGCTGGAGATCTGCTCCGACAGGGAGCATTCCTGCTCCATGCAGAGCCAGTCGCTCGCAGTTTGACGGGAAGGAATTTGCCTGCACATTTCCATGCTGGGAGGAGGGAGTTCACCGGGAGCAATGCAGGTAGAAATCCTCACTGAGGGTGGCATCCTTACCCAGCGCCCGGCCCAGCTCTGCGTGCATGAGACATCCCAGGAAATATTTGCTCGTGGCTCAGCGCAGCAGGGAGAGCGCTCAGGTCAGCCCGGGTGAGGCCACGGTCATGGGCAGGCACTCCCTGCTCCAGAGCTTTGTGCCCGGGGAGGGAAACCAAAGAGTCAGGACAGGGCTTGCTGCAGCTCAGGAGAAAAACCCGGAGCTAAATCCCCTCCTCAGCTCAGCCCGTGCCATGGAGCCCCAAAAGCTGGGCAGGGAGGAAAGGGAATGGCTCAGAGCCTGTCTGCAGCACAGCAGCTTTGGAAAGCAAAAGCTGCCTGTGAGGGCTCCCCCAGCTGCTCTCTCCCCCAGCAGGAAAGGGGTTAAACCTGCCTTTATCTGTTTCCCAAAGGCACTCCCGAGCCGGAGGATGTGGCAACACTCGGCTCCAGGGGTCCAGACAAGGAAAAGATAGAGACTCAACAAGGGAGAACAGTCAATACAGTCACATCCTCCATCCTGCTCACACGGGGGATCTTCCTGCTTACCTGCAGATCCCCACGTCCTGCTCAGGGCCGCTCACACTCTCTGGGAGGGCCGGCATCGATCTCCGGGGCAGCCAAGCCTGCACTGGCCTTGGAGCTGGGCTTTCCTCCCTGGAGCTGCCTCCCAGGCTGTCACAGCCAGGACTGACCAGGGCAGGGTGGCACGGTCACTGCCCAGGCATGTCCTGCTGGCTGAGGTCAGGTTGCTGAGATCTCCGAGGTGGAGCCCAAGTGCAGGAACTGCTTCCAGCTGGGAAAAGGCTCTCTGCAGATCCAGGGAGACAGGAAACATCTGTATTGTCACAGCTGGCGGCTGCTCTGCAAACACAGGATGCATCCATTAAACAGCCCATTTCCCCCAGGCTGGTGCCAAGACAGGCTGTGCTCAGGTGGGACATGTAGAGCCCCACCTCTCCTCCCCAGCTCCACCATCTCCTCCCCAGCCCCACCATCCCCTCTCCAGCCCCACCATCTCTGGAACAAGCTCTGGGCAAGTTTGAGCTCAGCAGTTGATTTGTTTCATGGGGGATGTGGTTGATGATGCACCAGGAGTGGAGAGATGGACAGAGGTCCCCACTGCTCCTGTGTGGGCAGAGACCTCGTGGTCGGTGTCCCACAGCACTGAGACTTCTGCCCAGGCTGCTTTGTGCCACAGTGAGGCAGCAAAGGCTGGCACAGCCCCCCTGGACCTGAAATGATGCCTCACAAAAGGCTCTGCACTTGTTTCTTCCCTGGACTTTTAGTCTGCAAGGAGCAGAAAATGATTCCAAACCAGGCACAATCTCAGTTGCAGCAAATTTCCCTTTTGCCCCCACAAACGGTCCCTGCTGTCTTTAAAGCCACCTGGGAGTCCAGCAGACAGGGAGGATTGCCTATGGAAACTCCATGGCAAGGGGGCAATGGGATAAGGGAGGGGAACAGCAAAGCTTGACTGAACACATCACATTTCACAGCCCACTTTCCCAATATCCCCACAATGGTTAA